CCCCCTTTGGCAAGCTCAAAGCCGTTGAGGGTCGCAAAGAAGGAGACTTTAGAAGTCTCCATGCGCGCCTTATCGCCAACGCCGAGGAGATTGCCTTCTACGGCGGTGCTGATATGGAGAAGACGTTCCTGAACAAGGAGTTCAAGTCTCTCAAGACCTGGATGGAGGGCATTTACATGCTCAAGATCCGCTACAACATGCTCGAAGACTTTATTCTCAAGTACAGTTGGAGTGCGTATGGCTACCTGCTGTCATCACTTCCAGTTTTCTTGCCCGCCTGGGGTGGTCTTGGTGGTGCCGCAGAGTTGGCTGAAACAGCTGCCAAGGGCAGCAGAGAGCGTGGCCGTATGAAGGAGTTCATCACCAACAAGCGTCTTATGCTTTCACTGGCCGATGCTGGTGGAAGAATGATGTACTCCATCAAGGACCTTTCAGAACTTGCTGGCTACACCAGCAGAGTATACACTCTGATCTCGACCCTTCACCGAGTCCATGCCAATGCGTACTACCTACGCGGGCAACCGAACGAGCTGTACTCCCTTTCTGATGTTCAAGGTACGATTCAGAAGGGATTCGACGGTGTTCGTTTGGAGGGTGTCCCTGTTGTTGCCCCAGCATTGTGGCCCAACGGCGGCGAGGAATTAATGGAGTCGTTGTCCATGGTGGTGAGAAGAGGAGAGCATCTTTTGGTAAGCAGAGCCCCACCCAAGGCCACTTCAACCCTAACATAACTAGATCTCCGGCTCCAATGGTGTTGGCAAGACGGCCATTGCCCGTGTTCTCGCCGGACTTTGGCCCGTCTACCGCGGATTGGTTAGTCGGCCCAAGGATATTGGCCAAGACGGCATCATGTTCTTGCCACAAAGGCCATATCTCAGCATCGGTACCCTCCGTGACCAAGTTATCTACCCTGACGGCCACCATGATATGCGTGAGAAGCGAAAGTCTGAGGACGACTTGAAGCGCATTCTGGAGGAAGCTCGCCTGGGATACCTCCCTGACCGCGAGGGCGGTTGGGATACTCGCAAGGAGTGGAAGGATGTGCTGAGCGGTGGCGAGAAGCAGAGAATGGGTTTTGCTCGCATGCTTTACCATGAACCTCAGTATGCCATCGTTGATGAGGGCACCAGCGCCGTGTCCCAGGATGTTGAAGGATACCTCTACGAGATGTGCAAGGAGAAGGGCATCAGTAAGTCACAGCTCTGCAGCGCGAAGACTGTGGTTGCTAACGACAGAAAGCACTCATCACCATTTCCACACGTGCCTCCCTCAAGAAGTACCACACCTACAACCTCATCCTCGGCATGGGTGAGCGTGGTGATGAGTGGGAATTTGAGAGGATCGGAACGGAGAGGGAGAAGATGCAAGTCGAGAAGGAGCTGCAAGATCTCCGCGAGCGCCTCGAGCAGGTGGAGACGTGGAAAGCAAGGCGTCAAGAGATTGAGGAGGAGCTGTCGCGCGTCTGGGTTGCTGGCGGCGATGCCTTGGATCCCCCATCATATGCCGAGAGCGAGAGCGACAGCATGAAGAGTAAGGGTAAGGAGGTGGCCCAGGAAGGTGACGCGTGATGTGGAACATTTGGTTCAACGTTGCTGCTGTAAAACTACAGGATACATTCGGCGTGTGAATGGGAGGGAGTATCAGCATCATCGCATTGTAGAAGAGGGCAATCACTCCAGAAATCTGTTGATAGATTCCGCGATGTCAGTGGCTTAAGCACCAATACACATTTGAACATAAATATCCTCTCCGCCGCACTTTCCTCGCCCGGCAAGCAGATCATTATACCGGGTGCCCGGCTTTCTATTACCGCCAAGGCCTCCCCCCACGACATCATCACTTCCACTGCGTCCGCCCCTCACCCCTGAGTCTTTTCCAACTTCGGAGACCCCCGTGCCGGTCTTCCCTCAGTTTTCAGACGCACAATCACAATTTCAACTACCGAGGACGACTTTCGGAGGTTCATTGCCCCCCACTGTCCCAACTACGAAGCCGTCGCGCCATCCAGCCGTTCCTTAGTCCGTCCCTGTCATCCATTCCCGGAAGTAGTTAGCCATGTCTGACTATCAACTCCATCAACCAATGAGGGCTTTGACTAGACTGCCACTATCGCTCAGACTATTTGCTGGGCCAACTTGTGGGGCACCATTCCGACGTCGAGCTTCTTTTCCCTTGTTCACTTCGCCGTCCAGGTTTCTGACGGTTTGCCCGCTGGCCCGTTACCTTGACAGAGAACCGGCCTCGCATATCTCTGCAGGACTCGATTATTCCCTGCAAGCCTCGTGGTAGTGCCGGGTGCTGCGATGGCAGGTTTTAGATAACCCTGTCCAAGGTGACAGCGACATATCTTGGGAGCCGCCAAATGGGGAATTGTCTTCGACCTCCCCGCTGCAGAGTGCCAGCTGGACCCCTGCTCGGAAGGAAGCTCTTCCCGTGGCGGCAACGTACCTCTCACGTATGTGCTGGCCAAAGAGGAATTCTTGAATTCTAGAACTGGCAAGCGCCAGGCTCGGCTGAACGTCGACGACGCCGAGTCCCTACCCTGCCCTGCCTGCACCTTGAGCTCAGCCTCCAGGCACGGCACAGCACACAAACCGCTTCCCACCATACCTCAAAGTTCTAGAAGAGATAGCTTGATCCTCGGCGGCATTCCTAATGCGGCTCTCACTGCGGCCGGCCAACATGGTTCGGACAGCAGCTGGTTCCCCAGTCTTGCCAGTATCAGTCCCCAAGAGATCTCTGAAACGAAGCCTTTTCTTTGCTCCTCCTCCTCCCCACCCGTTCGTTTCTTTGTTCTTACCAGGCCCGGGACTCAAGTTGTCGATCTCCGCCCCAAAATCCAACACGCCATTCTTCCTTTGTCCTACTTTCCCTCGGGGGCTCCAAGCTGAGTCGCGAGCGCTTGCTTGAATGGAAAGTCAGAAAATCATCCGTTGCTGCCTCTACACACGCGCGGCGTCCAGACTTACCCCGTAGAACCCGATTCCCTTTTGTCCCTTGCCTTGATATATCAGGTCCTTCGATCGTCGATCAATGTCTTTGATCATCGTAGAACCCGCTCTCCCCCCTTGCAAATCCCAGAACCACGGTCCAGTGAGCCGCAAACGTTCTCTTACATAGTCAGATCGTTACACTTTGAGAGAGTGGGATTCCACATCCTATCCCCATCTATTGCGGCTCAAATCTCTCCGGCGCCTTCATCGAGCCACGGGCTTTTTCAGGTCTAACCAACTCCACCAGCCACATACACGCATCATAAGGACTGACGACATTGCAATCTCACCTGCTCGACCACCACTTGGCATAATATAACAAAACAGAGCCCCGATATCACGCCTCGGGTTGTACAACCTCACTTGACTACACGGAAAACTTGAGTCACAAAGGCGGAAACACCAGGCCCAACGATGCCCAAGTCTCCCTCCCCCTCGGTCCGCACAGCAATAATGCTGGCAGGCCGCATGCCCGTGATAGCAGAAGACGACTCCCTCCCGGCCGTCACGCACCCGTCCCGGGCAGCACTCCCGCCTCCGCCTCCCTCCCGAAGCACAAAACCGAAACTGTACGGCCGCCCTCAGAAGATCGCACACCCGTTCCACCCCTACCCGTACCCGACCGTCCCGCCGCCCGCCTACTCCCGCAGCTCCTCTCGCGAAAGCTCCCGGAGCACCGTCAGCACGAGGAGCTTGCTCTCTGGCGGCTCCTCGGCCGGCAGCAGCATCGCAGGCGGCAGCGGGCCCAACTCGGGCGCCTCGACGCCCCGGAGCACGTACAAGGGCCGTTCGCAGCTGCTCCCCATCACCACCCCTATGGGCCCGATAGAAAACAGGGATGAAAAGGTGTTGAAAGCAAAGGAACTGAGGAGGCGGAGATGGTACATGGTCGTCCTGTTCATCATGATCATCGGCCTCGTGGTCGGTTTGGCCGCAGGGCTTACCATCTCCTCGCGCAAACAAACGTAAATCTTCCCCCCCTGCTTGTTCTCACTTACACCAGAAAAGCTAACAAACCATTTGCCCCCACCCTCAGTACAACCACGCCAACAAACACAACCGTCCCAAACATCTTCCCAGCAGGCTCCTTCGCCTTCAACACGGCCCTCGCAGACGTGGCCACAAACTGCACTTCCAACCCAGCGACGTGGCGCTGCTTCCCCTACGAGACGTACAACCAGTCCCTCACCTCGGGCTCCGCGAACGGCTCCCTCGCCACGTACTACTGGACCATCACACCCCGGAACTCGTACACCTACCAGATCTCCTCGTCCGCGAACCCCTTCTCCCCGCAGTTCGCCAACCTTAGCATGGCCCTCTTCGACGGCAACTCGTACAACGAGCGCCTCGTCTTCAACTTTACGCTGCCCAAGAGCGTCGTCCCCTCCGAGGCCATCGCGGCGGATAACAAGGCCGCGACGTGCGTGTACGCCGACACGGCGTTCAGCGCGACGTTGTGGACGCGCAAGAATAGCAGCGCCGGCGCCGGGTCGGCTGCGGCGGACGGGAACGTGACGGCCGTGTCGGACGGGAGCAAGTGGGCTAACTGGCCCGGGCAGATTGAGATTACGCAGATCAAGAGCGGCGGGGGCCCGGAGTGTAAGGATTCTGATGGGAACGCGGTCAGTGTGGCGGCCGGAGAGGGGCAGTGCGAGTGCCGGTATGCCAACTTTGGATTGGGGGCTTGAACAAAAGTTGTGTGATCTTTCTTAACTGTGTGTATATGGAGTTGGACAAGGACTGGGCCAGTAGGGATGGATATAGCATTAGCATAGCACGAGATCTCAAAGATACCCTTCGTTTGAACATATCTTCAAGTACAAAAACTGGTTTGAATGTAGAGTTACAATTCTATCACATGGCCTGGTAGCTTTCTAGTCCGTTCTATCCCAAAACTCCTCTAGAATCCAGATATCAGCCAAAACTCCATCGCAGCATCTTGGAAACCTATAATCAGCTGTTCAACATCTTCCACTCATTAAACACAGCTCGGGCCTGCCGGAGCTCCTATCGCCCTGCACCAGAGGAGGGTACTACCAAGTCTTCAAACGGACCAAGATGCATCTCCAAATCATCAGATGCAACATCGGGGTACGGGTCGTAGTTGTACTTCTCAATCAATTTCTGACGATAGCTCTTCTCGTCCTGGGGAGGCTGCTGTTGCTGCCCTGGTTCATTGTCAGTTTTGGGGGTCGGCGGTACTAACCCTTTTCTCTGGCCGGGCATCCAGTGCTGCGGCGGTGCTTGTACGGGAGGGAAGGGAGATAGGTATCGGCCGGGCTGCTGCTGGTGGTAAGGCAGAGGAGCAAAGGCGTCTGTGTTGCTGTTGTTGGGTCTCCAATGCGGTTGCTGGGGTTGCTGGTGTTGCTGAGGTTGCTGAGGTTGCTGAGGTTGTTGGGGCTGGAACTGGTTCGGATTCTGATTGTAGTTCTGGTTCGGGTTCATGGGCTGCCATGGTCGTTGTGGCTGCTGCTGCTGCTGCGGCATTGGAGCCGGGAATGGGTTCACGTAGGGCTGCCACTGTGGAGGAAGAGGTAGCCCTGGAGGGGGGACAGGAAGCCCAGGAATGGGAAGAGGCAGTCCGGGAGGGGGAATGAAAACCGGGGGAGGGTTCGAGTTGGGAGGTTGCCATTGCTGCTGTGGCTGGCCCTGAACAGGCAAACCGTTGCGAGGGTTCGCGAATTGCCCGTTTGGCTGGAAAGTTGCTGCGGCCGGGTTGAGACTCAGGCCCCGCTGATGTCCTTGTCCTCCTGGTTGTTGACCTGCCGGCTGCTGTTGACCTTCCGGCTGCTGCAGTGGCACTTCTTGCTGTAGTACTGGCAGCAGTAGTGCTGGCTCCAGCCCACGAGTCCGAGGATAGCGCATGCGGCTGAAGGTCTGGGGAGGATCCTTCTTCTCGATGGGTGTCGCGTCATACAGCTCGACGTCGCGGAAGGCGTCGATGATCATCTGCTGGGGCGGCGGCCGCTGTCTATCGCGGATGAAGTCGAACCCTTCTTGTCTCTGAGGCATGGGATACATCGTGCCTGGATGAATCTGGTTCATAGTCATCTGCTGTTGTTGCGGTTGCTGCTGCTGCTGACCGCCTTGCTGGGTCGTTCCCGGGGCCGGGTTGTGGACGGTCTTCAGGCGCAAGACGGTACCCCGCTGCTGGGGGTTGCCATCCTTGCCCGTCCGCTTTCTCTTGTCGCCAGTGCGAACGGGCTCCTCGTCGTCGTCGTCGGTGTCATACTCTTCCCCGTTCTTCGTCTGGGGCGGCTGCGGTTGCGGCGGTGGGCCGTCACCGGGGACGCGTGGGCTGCTGAAGAACTGGTTGGCCCATCTCGCGACGTGGTCGTCCGACTCCAGGCCATTCTGACTTTGGAGTCGAAAATCAATAATGCCATCGAGGTGGATCAGAGTCGGCCGGGCCGCGGGGTCTTCCACCAGACACATCGAGACGGTCTTTCTAAGGTTGCCGTCGATGTGACTGAATCTTGGATCTCCGATAGCCCTTCCGTACGTCACTTCTCCGCCGACTTTCCACCCGACGACGGGATCTTGGAATTTTGCCCCTGTAATGGCACACCACATCTTTATCACCAAGTTAGCCGTAGTCGAAAAGGAGATGCTCAGGGGTTGATACTCACGATGACTCCAACCTGGTAGATGTTGGAGGGCATACCGTAGTTGCCGGCAATTGATGGCTTATTGGCTTCGAGGAACATGTTGGATCCGCCGTCGTTGAAGGGCCGGAGTGAGTCCCAAGACCTATGAAATTGTTCCTAAAAAGGTCAGTATGCCCACGAATGTTGTTTGTATATGTTTACTCACTGGTGTGTGGTAGCCCGGCTTTCCTAGCGAGCGAGCTCTCCAGAATATTTCCTCCCTGAGAAAGAAAACTCATGTCAGCAAAGGTTGGCACTTTGAATGAAGGCAAAACTCACGTGAATTCATTCGGCTTTTGATTAGCTTCGTCAAAGAACTTGGCACAGCCAAAGTCCGAGATCTGGATTTGGCGTTAGCTTGTAATCAGTTTGTGACATGTTGTGACATTACCTTGAAGAGCGGCATAGGGCCGTGTGGCTCTAAGCTCACTAGGACTGTACACAAAGTTAGCATTACTATTCACAAAGTAATTCATGACACACTTACTGTTCTTGGGGTCCAGATCAAAATGAACAGTTTGCTGGGGCTTCTTGGTGTCGGGGATGGACTCTTCAGCGGGATTGTTGGGATCCCAGTCAGGGTGATCCCGTCCATAGTTCTCCTTTGGGGGATATCCAATTCCAATAAGCCCTTTGATGACTGCGTGGTTCATGTCAGTATATCAGAAATGTGTGTCAAAGTCCGGGGCTCAACTTACGGCACTTGAACAAAAGCCAGAGAGCCTTATTAGGCCAAGGTCTGCCAGATCGACTAGACTTGTTCAGCCATGTGTGAAGACTCTTTCCGTTGGCATACTCCATCAAGATGAAGCTGCGTTCCCGCTGGACTTTGATGTCCCAATTTTTGTCCCGAGCCTCTGTACTCGATCTGGGCACGTATGGTCTCTTACCCTCGTTTTCGGCGTCTCTCTTGTCGTTGATTTCCTTCGTAAAGTCAAGGATTTGGACAATGTGCTTGGCCCCCTTGAATTTCTAGAGCAACGAGTTAGCAAAGGATATCTGATGTCGTTTAGGGTAGACTTACGTTGAGAGCCTTCTGCTCCAGCTTGATCGAGTCATACGAGGCGGCAGGGCGGGTCTTTTCAATCTTCATCACACAATCCGTCCTCACGTTGCGGTTGCCCCTGTGTTCGACAAGAGCAGCGATGCCAAAGCCGCCAGCGGCCAAGATCCTCTTGAGGGTGATGCCGTAGCCCTTGGCCATTCGGTTTCCGTCGGGACCGTACTGTTGTTGCGCTATCTCCTGGTGGATGTCGTCCATGTATTGTCTTCCAGCGTACGGGCTCCTGACTGTGTGCATTGGATTAAACTGACCCAAAGGCTGCGCTACGATGGTGCTGCCATCTTGCGCCTTTACAATGAGGTCTCCCCTGATTCGCGCAGCTTCCAGCCGGGTTCTTCGCATTATCATCTGCCTATTCATCTCTTTCGGATTCGGTGCTGGGGCTTGGAGTGCTGGGCCAGCCATATTGTTGCCCGCCATTGGGTTTCCTTGGTAGTTGGCCATGTTGGTTGTCTGAGAGTACGATGAAATTTATCGATGGAGTCAATGAGACAGAAAAGGTGTGTGAGCTGATTGTATTATTGAGTGGATGTTGGATTTTGATATTCATTCTGATGTGAGACTGGAGAATATGACATATATACAACGTTGTATAGCTGCCAACTCAACTCGAAGGAAGCCGTGCAAAGGAGACATTTTGAGAGTGAGTATACAAAGGCTATTGTTCTTGTCGAAGACATTCTTTATGGATCGAGGACACAAAACCCCAATATCATTGTCCACTTGGAATGATCAGTTATTGCAGCCTTTGAACCATCCATTGTGGTCTTCATTCCTTCCAAGTTGCCTCGAATCCTTTGCTGCTGGCCAGTTGTTTGCCAAATGCGGAGGCTGGACAATGACACCTCAACTCAAGTCCGAGTTGCATAAGGGGAGCGTTCTTGTTCGATACGAAAGAAATCGCGATTTAGTTTCAAAGATAGATTTGACTGAAAGTTGTTGACTTGTCGAACTGCAGTCATCGCCGCTTGGCGTCTCTTTGGTTAGAACAAGTAGACTGAAGAAAACAAGTAGGGTGTGTAGTCAGGGCGCGGCGAAGCCAGGCCCACCCGGATGAAATGCCAATGGGGCCAGCTCCGTCGACACCCCACGCGCCCGCGCACGTGGATACCAATCGCTCCGGCAAATGCGCCGCGATGCATGAGTAGAGGCGATGGGAAGTGCGACATTCCGCGTTGGCGCTGCGCTTCGCTAGTCCGGCCGACTTCAGCCTGTGATTTTGATCCCAAAATCTGGCATGCATGGCTGTTGGTCAGAACAGAAGGGTCTCATCGTCTGCAACGGTCTACGACGTAAACTAGCGCCGCGTGTTAGTCGAGCAACAGTTGGGAAGCACATTGACAGTTGAGTCTCAATGGGCACAATTCTGCAGAGAAGCGTTGGTGATGGAGAAAAGAAGCCAATTAGCCGCGCCGGGTGGTATTTAGGCTAAATGCCATTTAATCGGGTCTCGGCGAAATCATTCTCCACAAAAGCACCTTTCCAGCGGGGCCTGGAGAGAAACAGCGATTGACAGAGAGAGCACCTCTGGAAGGCCAGACCAGCAGAGCGGATACCGTTGGAAAATGCGAGGCAACTTCGATCAAGGACACTCCGCGACAGATGATACAAGCATCAATGTCTCACGGAAAGCCCTGTGCAAAAGCAGCTAGCTACCCCACGCGGTGTTTCCCACGGCCTTGATTGACAAGCCAACTTTGAACTGGCAGGTCTGCATCGCGCTTGGAGGGGGTGCACAAGACCCTTCGCGGCAAGAGTGCGGTGGTGTTGGGCAGCCAGTGGCAGCCCACCAAAGCCGCCAGCATCAGAGTTGAATGACAACCATGCGAGTTTGGGTTACCGTTGCTTCCTCTTGGCTTCCCGCGAAACTTCACAGGGTTCCAGCGACAACGAGGCGACGGGAAGCTTGAACTCCAAATATACCCCAAATTCGGGTCTTCTTCACGGTCCCCTCAAAGGCTCAGGCTGATTTAAACGCACAAATGGGCGCGTTGCGTTGTGCAGCGGCCACCCCATCTCAGTCATCTCACGCCTCTCTCCACTCCGAGCTGGCCGCCTCTGCTAAAGGTCCGGTGCATTATCTTTGCCTATTGATATTTATCCATGCCAATCGCTTCCCCAAAGTATCGCCGCGTCGCGGACCGGGTCTGGCAGCCGCCTGAGCCCTCTCTCCAGCGGCCACCCCTGGCTGGTTGGCTCGGCCTGGGGGCAAACCATCTGTGTGTCGACTTTTTCCTATCGGTGCCCTCCCCCGCCGCCAGCCTCTCATGCGTTTAATGAGCCGCCAGTGCTGTACGGTGACGGAACCATAGGCTGTTTGAATCTGGAGACTGGCTAGGGGAAAGGTACGAGTTGTCGATGCAGGGGATAGCAGAGGGAGGTGTATCTATAGCTTCCATGCTCTGCTGTACCTACAATCTGAGCCAGAGCAGTCTTGCCTCGTGTCCGTCTGGTCAATCTGCCTGGCAACCACAGACCCAAGGCACCTGACGTATGTGTGTACCTGTTATAAATACTACTTGCTTCGCCTCCTCTCCATCCCAAGTGCTGCCTTTCTCTCTCCTCCTCTCTCCCAAGTCTTCTCGTGTGCCTCTTGATACCCCCATTCTCCTTCTGGCACCATCTTCCTTTCTCCCAATCAGAACGACAACCAGACGTCACAATGGCTGTCCCCAACATCAAGCTTAACAGCGGCTTTGAGATGCCCCAGGTGGGCTTCGGTCTGTGGAAGGTCGACAACGCCATCGCCGCCGACACCGTCTACGAGGCCATCAAGGCCGGTTACCGTCTCTTCGACGGCGCCTGTGGTAAGTAAACAACACCAGTCTCTTCGTCGCGATCCAGGACATAGGGAGGGGAACAAGCGTTCAATCGCCGCCACGACGACGCAGCCAGAAATGGTACGATCGCGGGAGAAGGCCTAAGGGCAAGAAAGCGTGTCGAAAAACACGTTGCCCGCAGTCAATGGCCCGTGGTGGTGGTGGTGGTCTGCTTGATCCCCTCTATGATTTCTGGAAGCTTGAGTTACCCCTCCTTCACCCCACCAAAAATGATCGGTGCGCATTTCTGCAGAGGCCGATTTTCCCATCAGTGCAATTCCGCCGGAAAGCTCTCCGCAACATCCCTGCACCCCAGCCTAATTCATACCCCTCCCCTGTCACCACTCACTTACACTTGGGGCTCGCCCCCGTCTTCCCCGACATCAATCACATGAACCAAATTTCGGGCCTACATCACACGCATCCGAAAGCAAGTGTGAACACAAACGTGATCCTAACGGCGCTTCTTCTCTAGACTATGGCAACGAAGTCGAGTGCGGCCAGGGTGTTGCCCGCGCCATCAAGGAGGGCATCGTCAAGCGCGAGGAGCTCTTCCTCGTCTCCAAGCTCTGGAACACCTTCCACGATGGCGACCGTGTAGAGCCCATCGTCCGCAAGCAGCTTGCCGACTGGGGCATCGACTACTTCGACCTCTACCTCATCCACTTCCCCGTCGCCCTCGAGTACGTCGACCCCTCCGTCAGATACCCTCCCGGCTGGCACTACGACGGCAAGTCCGAGATCCGTCCCTCCAAGGCCTCCATCCAGGAGACCTGGACTGCCATGGAGAGCCTCGCTGCCAGCGGCCTCTCCAAGAGCATCGGTGTCTCCAACTTCCAGGGACAGCTCCTCTACGACCTCCTGCGCTACGCCAAGATCCCCCCTGCCACCCTCCAGATCGAGCACCACCCCTACCTCGTCCAGCCCGACCTCATCAAGCTGGCTGCCAACGAGGGTATCGCCGTTACCGCCTACTCTTCCTTCGGCCCTGCCTCCTTCAAGGAGTTCAACATGGAGCACGCCACCGACTTCGTTCCTCTGTTCGAGGAGCCCACCGTCTCTGAGATTGCCAAGAAGCACGGCAAGACCAACTCTCAGGTCCTCCTCCGCTGGGCCACCCAGCGCGGCCTTGCTGTCATTCCCAAGACCAGCCGCAAGGAGATCCTCGCCCAGAACCTCGACTGCACCAGCTTCGACCTCGAGCAGTCCGAGATTGACAAGATCAGCAGCCTGGACCGCAAGACTCGCTTCAACCAGCCCGCAAACGTAAGCTTCCCTGGGTGTTTCCTCAGTTCAAGACAAGATTTAACACTTAGTAGTACTTCCCCACTGAGAAGCTCTGGATCTTCGGTTAAGTGGTCTGCATATGATGCATTGTCGATCCGAAATAATAATACGTACCTGCAACATCATCACCACCTGCCTATCAAAGTGGCATGTTAGTAGTCCACAACTGACGGTGTGTAAGGGAACCATATCGGGGGTTTGTCGAATCACGCACTGTGCGTCGATTGTATCTAGGTAGCCGTCTCCCTTCGGCATGACTGTGATCTGCCGTTACAATACAACCAAAGCCGTGACCAAGACAGTCTGTTGCTCCCGCTTGTACAGCATGCTGCAGCGTGTTTTCGCCAATGTCAGAATAGCCGCCCGCCCGTCCTTGAAAATGCTCCCTTCCATGCTCAGCAAACATAATGGTCAAGAGAGAGCGCTCGGTAAAGAGGTATCTCGAGTGAAGAAGAAAGATCCCGATATGTTCATCTGCCCGACCGCCCCAAGGATCTAATCAAACGCCGTTGTAACGCCATGCCGGCCTCGTAAATTCATGCTACAGAGTGAACCAAGCCGCTATGATCGGACAAAGGCTGCAAAGATTGGTTAGCAATCTTGGTCTCAACCGCTCAACCTGTGATTGTACACTTACTTGCGTCGATCTGGGATAATTGGGGCAGCGCCAGACGGACTTTGTTGCGGTACACGGCCGGCCCCCTGAGTTGCAACGGGTTGCCCTCGAAGTAGACGGTCGTCAGGTGCTCCTTGTCCTTCAGCTCCTTCTCGACCTCGTTAAAGTCGGAAATCTGGTTGTAGCTGGCCCAGAACTCCTCAAGGTTCTTGAGCGGCTTGAGGCCCTTGACGCTCGCGACGGCGTTGTTGGAGATGTCGAGCACGCGCAGCTTCTCATTCTGCTCAATGCCCTCGAGGGAGGTGAGGGCGTTGTGGGAGATGTACAGCTCCTCGAGGCTGGGCACGTCCTTGAGGGGCGAGAGGTCGCGGATGCGGTTGGACTGGATGCTGAGGAGCCTGAGGTTGGGCAGACCGCCGAGGCCGGTGAGCTCTGTGATTTTGTTCTTTGCGACCCAGAGCTCCTCGAGGTTCTTGAGGGAGTCGAGGTTCTGGAGGACGCGGATCCGGTTGGAGCCGAGCTCGAGGCTGGTGAGATTGACGAGGCCGTCGAGGTTCTCGATGGTGCCGACCTTGTTGGCAACGAGGAAGAGCTCCTTGAGCTTGGTGAGGTGGTTGACGCGCTTTATGTGTTTGATCTTGTTGAAGCTGAGGTCGAGGCTGGTGAGGTTGGTGAGGTCCTCGAGGCCGCGGATGTGGGAGATGAGGTTGTCGTAGAAGTCG